TCATCTTCTTCCTCTCACTTTGTCAAATTTCTCAAATCCATGTGCATCATTTTCTTAGTTCTACTGATAGGAATTTCAAAAATTCCTCATTTTCCTTGATTTCTAGGCAACTAATTAAAACTGTTTCTTTAGTTTTTACAATGTTGCTCTGTCCTGACTCTTTCAATGACACCCTTTCCTTTTAGTGCCCTTTATTAATATAGAAGATGTCCCCTGAGAAAGAGCTAGCACTAGTAGTCTGCTCTTCTCTGTTGTCACTCGCTCACTCTCACAATGTCCATGGCCATAATTGCTGCTTTTTTTCATTCCCTAGAGATGAAATTTGTAATCAGAATATCTTGGGTTTGCCCTTATTTTAGAACTTTGGGTAATTCATTGAAGTCCATAAGCCTCAGTTTTCTGATCAATAAAATGTAACATCTACATAGGCTGGCTATAATATTCAAATGTAATCAGGGATGTGAAAAAAAATCATGTATACACTGCAGATTATATATAGAGAGTCATATGTGTAAAAAGACAAAAATAATTATTATACAATAATGCCTCCTTTATCAAGAATCATCCAAGACTCCCTTAATAACCTTACTAGGGGCCCAGTGCACGAAATTTGTGCACTGGGGGGTGGGGAGGTAGTCTCCTCAGCCCAGCCTGCCCCCTCTCACATACTGGGAGCCCTCAGGAAATGTCCGACTGATGGTTACAGTCTGGCCTCCCTTAGTGGGAGACAACTGGGCTGATCAGGGAAAGGCACCAGCCCCATCACTCCGCTGCTGGAGCCACTGCCAGTCACTGCAGCCATCATGTTTTCATCAACATGGACTCCAGTCCCTTCACCATGAAAAAAAAAATGACACTTCTTTAGGCATTTTCAAGATGTGTCTTTCATAGGATACAACATTTCTTTCTTTCATTTTTTTTATCCTCACCTGAGGATATGTTTCCATTGACTTTTAGAGAATGTGGAAGAGAAAGAGAAAGACAGAGAGAAACATCAAAGTGAGAGAAATGCTTTGATTGATTGCCTCCTGCATGAGCCCTGACCTGGGCCCCAGCCAGGGAGGAGCCTGAAACTTAGGTACATACCATTGATTAGAATCTAACCTGGACCCTGAGGTTGGCAAACCTAGGCCTTATCCACCAAGCCAAATCGTCTAGGGCAAGTTATGGCATTTCTTAGCCCTCAGCAGCGAACCTTCATTTTTTCCCCCAGGAGTATGGTGGAAAAGCCCTAGGTCACCTTTTTGGATTCTTATACTCAAGTTACTAAGAATATTACCAGTGGCATACAGGGAGCTTAGCCAATGAGCGGTCAGAAAAGGTCTTTCCTCTGTAGTTCACACCTATCTCCTCTGATCTCCAGCTCCGCCCCTGCCAAAGCCTAAAGCCTCCAGTCCTGAGCAGGGGACCCCCAGCTGGCTCAATTGCCAGGCTCTGCCCCCAGCCAAGGATGAAAACCTCTGACCAAGGCTCTGACCCTAGGCATGGACCCCCAGTGGCTCCAATCACTGGCAGGGGACCCCAGCTGGCTCCGATCACCTGGCTCCACCCCCACCCAAGGCCAAAAGCCTCTGGCCGAGGCTGGGCTCTGGGCAGGGACCCCCAGCTGGCTCCCATCGCCTGCAGGGGATCGTAGCTGGCTCCCATTGCCCAGCTCTAATGGCCCCGCTCCAATCAATGAACTCCAACCATGGCCAAGGCCAGCAAGGGCAGGTGGAAAGCTTGGCTTCCTCCATTTCAGGGGAAACCCACACCTCCCTTCTGCTCTCAGTGGCTGTGGCCATCTTGGTTGGATTTACATATTTGCTCCTGATTGGCTGGTGGTCGAGGCTGATGGGTGAGGCTTGTGGGTGTAGTGGAGGTGCAGTCAATTTGCAAATTATTCTTTTACTATATAGGATTTTCTATACCTTTAAGTATTTAACTTTGAAACTAAACTATTTTGATGGAAATTTTCTGCTTTTAGAAGTATTATACTATATATATTCTTCCTTTGTCTGAAACTGAATTGTAGAGGGCCACCTGGGAAGGCCCATGGGCAATTTTCTTTAATTATCGTCAGCTGAACTCAGGGTGTAGGCAGAGCCACTCCTTGGGAATATGTTTCCCCAAGATGGGCAACATGTTGTCAGCTTGGCCTTCATATCAGCCCAGGTGTCGGCAGGGGCAGCACTAGATATGTAAATCCAGGCATGCTAGGGCCTACTTAAGAATGCAAATAAGTTGGAGATAACTTCCTGGTATTTGGGGATGTAAAATAAATGCACTGGACGGGTCATCATTATCTGTCTCTCCAGCAGAAGAGGGCAGCAACCCACCCGGGACCCAGCTTTGAATCTATTTCTGTGTCAGCTCTCTTTATTTCATTTATTTCTCAATTCCCAGCTACCTCTACCAAGAACCTGTTTCATCTCTCTTACAGCGCTGGATGTGCCAACTCAGGCTCCCGCACTGAATATAATTTAATTTTTTCTTACTGACTCTGAGCCATTGTTATAAACATTATTATTCTAACATACAGTTCCCTCAGGGATTACCATGTATGTAATGCTGTTGACCTCTTTCATAAATAGTCATAGGCACTGGACTCTGTAATCATCATGTCCCTTCTGCTGCACTTCTCTCTATGGATTAGAAAACTAAATAATTGAATTTGTTGAAGAAGAATCTAAAATTAACAAATACAGACTTTGAAGAAGGGGTCCAAAAGTATTCCTCTGACCAAAGTTTGTATGTCAGAAACTTCTGGGCTCTGGCCACTCAGAGGTACTTTTTATTTACTTTCTGAGTCACACTGATATCTAGATAACTGAAATTGCTGGGAAAGCAACTTCTTTATCTATCTATCTCTCTCCCTATCTATCTATCTATCTATCTATCTATCTATCTATCTATCTAATTCAGAGACAGTACCATGTTGTCCATAAACTAACCTATTTATATTTTTGAAGTCTTCTGAGTGTTTCCTGATGCCACTCAACATATATATATGGCCCAGTGCATGAAATTTGTGCACGGAAGGGGGGTGTTCCCCTCAGCCCTGTACCCTCTCCAATTGGGGATCCCTTGTGGGATGTCCAACCACAGGGATCAGGCCTAAACCAGCAGTTGGACATCCCTCTTGCAATCTGGGACTGCTGACTTGTAACTGCTCACCTGCCTGCCTGCCTGCCTGATTGCCCCTAATCACCTCTGCCTGCCAGCCTGATCACCCTTAACTGCGCTTCCCTGCCCCAACTGCCTCTGCCAGCCTGACTACCTGCCTGATTGGCCCTAACTGTTTGCCCCCGCCAGCCTGGTTGCCCCTGCCAATCTGATCTCACCCCCAACTGCTCTCTCCTCCCGGCCTGGTTGCCCCCAACTTCCCTCCTCTGCTGGCCAATTATTAACCCCAACTGACCTCCCCAGCAGGCCTGGTCTCACCCCTAATTGCCCTCTCCTGCACGCATGATCTCGCCCCCAACTGTCATCCTCTGCTGGCCAATTTGGTTCTGATTGGTTGGTTTCTATGCCAGTCAGCATCAAAAGCTCTGCCTCCTATGCAGCCATTGTCTCCCCACAGCACCAACATTTGGTTCTGATGTTACAATGCCAGTCAGCATCAAAAGCTTACCTCCTAGGCAGCCATTGGCTAAACACAGCATACAGATTTGGTTCTGATTGGTCAGTTTCTATGTGTCAGAAGCTCCATATCCTAGGTAGCCATTGGCTCCCTATAGCACCCACACTTGGTTCTGACTGGTCAGTTTCTGTGCCAGTCATGTCAGAAGCTCCACATCCTAGGCAGCCAATGGCTCCCCATAACACCCACATTTGGTTCTGATTGGTCGATTCCTATGCCAGTCATTGTCTCTGGGCCTATCAACAAGGCCTGATCATAAAGGCAGGGCTGATCAGTAGCCACAGTGGAGGCCTGGAGAGAAATGGAGGTATGTCTTTTGGCCAGATTGGGAGAGAAAGAGAGAAGCAAGTGCTGATCAAAAGCTGCCACAGAGACAATGGATCAGTCCCTGCTTCTCTCTTCAGGCCTCTCCCTGGCCCCAATTTGTACCCCTCTCAGCAGTCAGTGCTGGGGCACAGCACCTACAGTGGAAACAATCAACGAAAGCCATGGCAACCCAGCACTGATTGCAGGATTGACTTCCAATTGGTCAAACCTAGGTCATTACTGGTCATTACAACCCAGAGTTTTTATATATTAGAATGTCTCATTAAGTTAAAGCTACAACAGAGCAATCAGTCATATTATGTGAAAGAAAAAACTCCAGAATTCATGTGTTAAGTCCCATACTAGGCAAACTAAAAATAAAAAATAAATAATATATATATATATATATATATATATATATATATATATATATATATATACTTTCCAGTTTAAAAAATTCACTCATCCCATCGCTTCTCAGCCTTTTGGCTAAGATCAAGTGTAAAAAATTCACTCATCTTTAGTTATAAGTAAACATTAAGTTTTAGGCAAAAAGAAAAATTTAATAAAACTTAAGAGAACATCAAAGTCAAATTAAAAATTGCTTTGTGAGTCAGGAGCATTTTGTTCTTATGCTTGTAAATTATATGGTCACAGAAAAATCTTTTCCCCTGACACGTCTGGAACACTTGTGTATTTTTAGATATATAATATTATGTACATGTAATATTACCATAATATAAATAAGAAAAACAAAGTCACCTTTAAAAACAAAGTCATGGTAATTTTCTCCATCAGATGTAAAACACATAAGATAGGGGAGGGACGTAAAAGTTGGAAGAAAAAAATAAATCAAGTAAAATATTATACTTTGATAAATAGGCTTTTGATTTGTTTTTAGAACTTTTTATGAGTCAAAATCAATTTAAATGTGAAAGAGAAGAAAGAGAAAGGGGGAAATGAAAAAAAGAAGATAGGAAGGGAGGCAAGAAGAGAGGGAACTAGAAAGAAGAAAATATGGCATATCTAACAGAACTTAGAAGCTACAAAATAAAATTATCTAGCCTTGTACCTGACAACCGTAGTCCAAAAGTAGCTGTAGTATATCCAAATTTTCATTTTCAATAGTTATTGTAACAGCATTTCTCCCAAGCACATCTACGCAATTTATGTTCAAGTCACCTGAACTGCTTTCCTCCAAAATCTTTTTAACCATATAATAGTCACCTAAATAACAAATACAAACACAATTTAATACTCATGACATATTAAATGTGAATGACTGTAAAGAAAACTTAGCCTGTTAATTTAAAAGATTAAAACCTAAACTTGTTTTTTTATATGGAAATATGCAAAAACATGAACATTTCCTTGCTAAAAACTTTTATCTTGGTAAAATAATATGTACATCAGCTGCAAACATTAAAAGTTGCTAGTTTAAAATTCATAACTGAATGATAAGGAGAGAAACTTTTAGAAGATATTTAAAGCAATAAAGATTGTCCAAAAATACATACTGAAAGCAAGAAAAATTATAAGTTTAAAGCTTTACATCTCAAATACATACCCATATTTACTCATACATCAAAATAGTTATAAATGAGATCTAGTAATAAGCTGAGGATATTATGAAGACATTTTATAGCCTTTGGAAAAGCAGTGTTAATGTGTATATGCTTGACAAAAAAAAATGCCTAAATTCCTCTCCTCTTCTCCCCTACACGCACACACACACACACACACATACACACACACACACACACACACACACACACACACACACACTCATCTCATAAATGAAACTGTTTAGATTATATGATCAGGGAACACCCAACTCACAAAACTCTAAAATAGGAGTGGGGTTAATGCTGGTAGAGGCCAAAGTCAGAATATTTCAAAGTAAAATTTTAACTTGTCAAGAGCATGCAGGATTCCTTTTACCTAACTCTAGCCCATATCAAAACAGTTGACCCATGGGGAAAAAAATGAGAATAATGACAAAGGTAATCATTTGTCTGCTGACCAATTAGTGCAGTAATAAGGGAAATAAATCAAGAGAAATCTAATTAACTATACAAAGAAAGCAGAGTTTTGTTTCTTTTAATTTTACTTTTAAAATATAATATAAATAAACCATTTTAAGTAACTTGCAAATACAGTTGTTCTTTAGACATCTATAAATTTAACAAAAAATCAAAACAAAACAACTACCACAAAAGAAAAAGCACAGAAAAGAACAGAGTGAAAACCAGAGAAAAAAGATATGATTTCATAATACAGAAAAAGTAAATCCTAAAACTTGACTAAATGGGTGAATTAAAAAAAAAAAGTAACATTTGGGAAGGGGTAAATTTCAAATAGATTTTCTATTATTATTATTATTTTTTAATCCTCACCTGAGGATATGCTCTCACTTATTTCTAGAGAGAGAAGAAGAGAGAAACATCGATCCTCGATATCAAATCTGCAACCTAGGTATGTGCCATGACCTGACTGGGAAATTAACCCACAACCTTTTTGGTGAATGGGACAATTTTCCAAAAATTGAACAACCCAAACAGGGAGAGTGGTATTATTTGAAATCAATGACTTTAAAGCTCTCCATGCATTTTGGATGAAGCTGAACCATAATTTTCTTGATGCCACATCTCCTTAGTTACTTTAAGAAAACTAATCACAAAAAGAAGTATTTTCTTCATAGCATTATGAATAGACACTCATGCTCTATGGCAAAAACTTAACAAACACTTTAGAAAGTGACACTTTTAGTCATAAGTTGAACTGATAGTGAATATACAGATAGACCAGTGAAACGGAAGGAGAGAGGTAAAAGAGTTAAAAACATCAATGAGAGAGAAAAACCATTGATTGGCTGCTCCTGCAGGATCCCCCACAGGGAATGGAACCTGCAACCCCAGGCATGTGCATTGACCTGTAATCAAACCAGTGACCTCTTGGTTGCTGGGTCAAAGCTCAACAGCTGAGCTACATTGGCCAGGCTCTTTTTTGTTTTTTCTTTACTCCTTAATCTGTACATATCTTTCAAAGGCCCACTCATTCACTAAAATACACATTACCACCTCATATCCACAATTTTTACTTTAGGAATTCTTTCCAAATATAATACATTATGAAATGTTGTATATGTAGAGTAAAATTTCTAAATGAAAAGGATGAGAAACATAGATGTTCTACAGTAGATTTGTTCTGGTGCTATTAAAGATTTTGCTTTTATTGGATAAATTTGATCCTCAGAAAGGTTTATAAAACATTCATAGAGAGCGAGTTTGATTGTCAACTAGTAAGTCCAAGTGTGAACATGTCTTTTCTAACATAAATAATTTCCATTCATCCAATTAAAACTAGATCAAGCCGAAGCCGGTTTGGCTCAGTGCATAGAGCATCAGCCTGCAGACTGAAAGGTCCCAGGTTCAATTCCAGTCAAGGGCATGTACCTTGGTTGTGGGCACATTCCCAGTAGATGGTGTGCAAGAGGCAGCTGATCCATGATTCTCTCTCATCGATGTTTCTAACTCTCTATCCCTCTCTCTTCCTCTGTAAAAAATCAATAAAAAGTCAACCAATAAAAAAATAAATAAAAATAAAATAAATAACTAAAAATAAAAATAAAACTAGATCAATATAACATAGTGGTTAATAGTGCAGGCTAAAATATATCCTAGTTCTACTTCATAACTAATGCAACTTTAGACAAAGGAATTTTAAAATTCTGCTAATTCTCATTTTCCTTATTTGTAAAATGGGGATAACAACAGATATAGTTCATTGAGTTGTGAGGATGAAATGAGATCATCTATGAAAAGTATATGCACTCTAACCCAGAGTTGTTTTAGTAAATAGTTGCCATTTGGTTTAATAAAAGTTCCAATGTAATAGTGGAATCTATAGCTACTTCAGGAAATTTCCACTTGTAGATTTGGTTTGGGTGATACAAAAGAGGTTTAATAATATTAGTGGATACAAACATGTAAAAAAAAAAAAAAAGTACTGCTATAACTCCAATTTATTTTTTACATGTAAAAGAATACCATATTGTAAGAAATGAGTCATTTCCTCGACCTAATCCAAGAGCTCATTTTAACATACCTGAAACAGAAAATATCTTAGTCTCTCATTAATTTTTATTTTATTTTTTTTACTTTATATGGGCAAAAAAGCATGCATATTTACTTTCTACCCACCCCCAAAAGTCAAATCCCCCCAAAAATCTTAATGATCTTATAAAATGGAAAACTGACAAAGGATACAAAGTTATTTCAACTGCCCTACTGGACAGGCCACAAAACTATCCTATACAAAAACATTCTTTTGTTTTAAATATGTCATGCAATAATCTTAAATACACACAACATACACAAGTACTTACTAATCCATATTTCTCATTTTGATAGGAACATCAAATTCCCTTTCTTGACATACTTTCTGTTTGCTTTAAAATAACCACAGCTAGAGCAAAACAATCTTCCATTCCCTCTCTCAGAGAATTTTTTTACACAATCCACTCCAGTAATACTACATAATTTTACCTAATTTACAATGATTTTTGTGAGGTTATAGACATATGTTACACTTCTTTACATTTCCAAGACAATTCAAAGTTGTGTCCATAGTGGATTTTAAGGAATGTTTTCATAATATAATTTAATACTATTACATAAGAACATAAAAGTGGCTGACATAGGTGGCCTTTATAAGACAATGTATTTGCAAAATATTATGTAAATCAAATCCTACTTCAAAAGCAGTAAGAGGTTAGAGCCGTGGTCAGCAAACTGCAGCTCGCAAGCCACATGCGGTTCTTTGCCCCCTTGAGGGTGGCTCTTCCATAGAATAGCATGGCCTGGCCGAGTCTATTTTGAAGAAGTGGCGTTAGAAGAAGTTTAAGTTTAAAAATTTTGGCTCTCAGAAGAAATTTCAATCATTGTACTGTTGATATTTGGCTCTGTTGACTAAGGAGTTTGCCGACCACTCGGTTAGAGACTAATACTTACTAAAAAAATCAGGTGGCTCAGTGATTGAGCATTGACCTATGAACCAGGAAGTCATGGTTCATTCCCAGTCAGGACACATACCCTTGTTGTGGGCTTGATCTCCAGTTGGGGGTAGGGGAGGAGAGGGGTGTAGGAGGCAACTTATGGATGATTCTCATCTTGATGTTTCTATCTCTCCTCTCTTTCTCTCTGAATTCAATAAAAATATTTTTTTAAAACCTTGCACATACAAAATATCCTCTGAAGTTAATCTTTTCATAGTGTAAAAAAGCTTATGTTCTCAAAGTCTGCATGATCCTAAACTGAGTTTTCTAAGTGAGCATGGCCATTGAAAGGTGTGAAAATTAACAAAGGGAAATCTTACTTGAAATAGTGTCAGGCCAGACCGGGTGCTCATATGCAGTACCGGAAGTCAAATTATAGGATGAATTGATTATCAATACAGAACCCAACAGAAAATCCTCAACAGGAAAGAATCATCAGTGGTAGGCCCCAACATAAAAGATGTACATTAGGTCTTCTATAAGAAATTGACAATCCCAGCCAATGAGAAATCATCCTGCAAGAAATTTATCACCCCAGTCAATGAGAAACTATCATGCCCTTAACTCTCAATAGTCTCCAATGAACTTTTTTCAAAACTACCCCTCCCAACTTCCTTCTTCTCCATAAAACTTTCTTCTCCTTTGTTTGTTGGCCTTGCCTATGGCTTTTGCTATAGCTTACTTGTCCTGAATTGCACTTCTTTGTTGTTCCCAAATAAATCCATTTTTGCTGTTAAAATGACTCTTCTTTTTAAGGTCAACAAAGGCATACTGAATAGATGTAGAAAAATAAATTGTATAGTATTTCACACCGGAAGTAAAATTAGTCTTAGGGCAATCAATTTCTCATTCCTTTTATTATATGCAACAAAAGAAAGCATGCTTGAGTGAAGAGACTTTTTATGACCATAAAAGTGAAGAATCTTTTTTTAAAGAAAAATATTAAATATCTTCCACATTTTTACCCTGTAATTATTTTGCACTACCTTTATGTCTCAAAGAAGGCTCAGAAGCAATAAACCTTCCCCACTAATAAAAAGCACGAACAAAGTTGTTCTGTAAATTTGGAGAAAATATGGAACTATTTCTTCAGTCCTAGGATTATGACATATCTAATTCCAGTCAACAGTCACTTGTACACCAAGGCATTGGGTGGCTGAACTTAAAATACTATAACACAAATAAGATTTTAAGATTTTAATGAAGCGCGGGGGTGGGGGAACAACAGGTGAGAGCCCACAAACACGAGGCATCTTAAGCAAGGTCATGGGATTTTCACACTAAAAAGCCATTTGGGCTTCCAAAAAGGAAACAAACAAACAAACAAACAAACAAACAAAACGTAAGTCCCCCAAGAGAGACCAGGTCATTCGGGTGGTCAGCAGCAGAGGCAGGACCAAAATCCTAGGGTCCGCGCCCGCAACGCTACCTAAACACAGGACGCCAACACGGGAGACCACGGCCAGCGCCAGGCACAGTGGCTGCCAGTGGAGGGCCGCGCCCCCGCCCCCGCCAGCTGCGCACTCACAGGTGGAGGCGGCGTGGGGCGCCTGGAGGTCCGGAGCTGGGCGCCAGGAGAGGGAAGGCCCAAGCTGAGGCTGCGGAGAATCTGAGGGGTATGGAGGACAAGAGCATGGGGAGCGGAGAATGGGGCCGAGCTCTCACCCTTGTCGCACGCCAGCAAGAAAAGCTTCTCATTCAGGGTGTTCTCCTCCTTTACCTCCCGCACATCCTTAAGCGCCATCACCTCACTGGGCGATGACGAGGAGGACGGGGAAGAAAACAGGGAGGAGGAGGAGGCGCCAGAAGGATCCATGCTCGGATACAGGGCCGCCACCGCTGCGCCCCACGAAGGGGACAGACCAGGAGACCGGGGCCGCGACCCGGGGCCCCACCTGGCCCCAGAGCCCGAGAAGGGATGGGTCGGCCCCGCGGCGGCTCCAGCGCGCAGCCCGTCGGCCCCGAAGAACGTCCCGTCTCCTGGGAGCCAGCATTCGCCCTCCGCCGACAGCCCCAGGTCGGTGGCGGCACCGGCGCGACCCCAGGACCAGCGTCCCCTCCCCAGCCGCCTGCGCCCCGGCCGAGCCGGTCCGCGCCGGTCTGGGGACGACAGAGTCGCGGGCGCCAGGGCGGCGGAGCGGCAGTGCCAGAGCCGCAGGGGCCGCGCGAGGGGAGGGACGGCGGGCCAGGCAGAGGCCGAAGGGGAGATGCGGAGGAAGTCCTGAGAGGCGGCTCTGCAAACGTTGGGGTCCAGGACCGTGGGGACCGCCTGCCGAGCGGCGCCCACAGAAAATTCTCGTGACTCCTCTCGTCACTCTCCGCTTCGTTAGCTACGCAGCCCGAGCCAGGCCTATCGCAGGGGACAGGCCAGGCTTGGTGGGCGGGGCCTGTCGGTGAGTCTGTGTCTAGGTCCCTGGGCTGCTGCCTGGCCTGGGGGCTTCGGCCAGGAGCTCATCTCATCGCCAGCACCTCCCCACCGCCTCCTGCGCAGAAGCCCACAGGCCACTGGGCTGCTGAACCGTGAGGGCTCAGGTCAGTGGACACCCCTGTGTGACTGTGGAGTCATGTCCTGTCCCTGTGCCCACTGCCTCGCCTTGCTGCAAGACGTCCCTGCTTCTGCAAGACGTCCCTGCTTCCCGAATTTCTGAAGACTCTTAACTCGTTGGTTATAGTAGAAAGTCTCAACATTCCTGATTCATACGTTTATTCGCATGTAATTCAAGTCACGTAATTATGGATAAGCACGTTTTTAGGATAGGCTGTGCATCACAGCCCTTCAATGGCTTTTTCATACACTTTTAAGTCTACTGAAGCTTCTGTGTTTAGGCTATCCCCTCTGGACTTCCACAAGGGGCTGAGTTAATTTCTTAGATTCAGGGAAATCCCGGCCTACTTTAGTGGACAGACCTACCAGGTATTAGAGGGCTTTTCTTCCTTCAAAATGAAACATGGAATTGGAGTGTGGACCCTTTCTTGTGGGTTCTTGTCCTATTTAGTTTGAACAATAAATTCATTAACTAAAAGATCTACACTAATAAAAGAGTATCAGTTTAAAAGGTCAAAGCCCATCTGATACCCCCCTTTTTCTCGCCCCCTTATCTTACAACATTCTTCTATCCTCTGCCAATGTATGCCTTTCCCTTCCCCTTATCTGTGACATCTTTGTTGGGTTAACTTGCATACTCATGCCTGGTTGGCTGGTGGGCATCACGAAGGTACAGTCAATTTGCATCTTACTCTTAGTTTTTTGTGGTTGTTGTTAATCTTCACCTGAAAATATTTTTTTCCATTGTTTTTTCAGAGAGTGGAAGGAAAGGGGTAGCAGAAGAGGAAAGAAAGGAGAGAGAGAGAGAGAGAGAGAGAGAGAGAGAGAGAGAGAGAGAGAGAGAGAGAGAGATCGGCTCGTTTCTTTCCCAAACTTACCCAGACTGCCGCTGGGGAATAAATCTACAACTTGGGTACATGCCCTTTACCAGGAGTTGATTGGAGACCCTTTCGTGTACAGACCAATGCTCTAATCACTGAGAAAAACTGGCCAGGTCCATTTTAGTCTTAAACAAAAAAATTCCCTAGGTCATAAATCTCTCCTTTCTAATACTGTTGGATTCAGCTGCAAGTCTGTGTATTTGGTAAAATGTCAAAGTTGCTCACTGTAAATTTGTGGTCATGTTTGGGTTTGTGTGTGAGTTTACCCAGTAAAATTTTTACTCCCCCCATCTAGTGCACAAATGACCAGGCCTCTAGTCATTTATACTGTCCAAACACACATCCTTAAAGAGACCTTCCATGACTATCCAAACTAAAATAATATTCACCCTAGTTCCCAAATCAGTCTCTATCATGTTACCATTTTACTTCTCCTACTATAGTTATCATTATCTAAAATTCCCATTTGTTTATCACATGTCTCTCTTTACTAGGATATAAGATTCATGAAGTCATATATTTTTCTTGACTAAATCTCCATGTCTAATGTAATACCAGGATCATAATAGGCAAATTTTATGTTATTGAATTGGTTGATTCACCCTAATTACTTCCACATAAACTAAATGTGTAGTAATATGTCGCTGGTCTCTATTAAATTTCTTCATGTTAAAAAAAAAAAACATAGAATGACCTTCCCTCTCCCAAAATAACCTAGAGGGGTTTTTTTGTTTTGTTTTGTTTTGTTTCAATTAGTTTTAAGTAATTATTTTTACTAACTAAAGAATTAGCCGAAACCGGTTTGGCTCAGTGGATAGAGCATCAGCCTGCAGACTGAAAGGTCCCAGGTTCGATTCTGATCAAGGGCATGTATCTTGGTTTGGGCACATCCCCAGGAGGCAGCTGATCCATGATCCTCTCTCATCGATGTTTCTGGTTCTCTATCCCTCTCTCTTCCTCTCTATAAAAAAATCAATAAAATATATTGGGGAAAAAAAGAATTAGGAATTTTGTTTTAGTAATTTTCTCTTTTCTGGAAAATAACCTTATTTTATTTATTTTGTTATTTTCTGGAAAATAACAAAATTCGTGCACAGGTAAGGTCCTTAGGCCTGGCCAGTGATCAGGGCCAATCAGGGCCTTACAGCTGCCAACCAGGGCCTTCCTTCCCTGGCTGCCCAACTCCTGGTCTTCCGGTCAAACTCCAAGGGGAGAATTTGCATATTAGGCTTTTACTGGAAGCCACCGCTTGCCAATAGTGTCACAAGAGTGCACCAAAGAATACAGAAGGCCAATGGACCTTGGGTGTTGGCAGGACTGACACTAAGCACCTTGTCTGTTGAGATAGTTGTGGCTCAAGACAATTCCCTAATCTGATAATCCTCTTACTGTTTACCAAATTTTACCCTTTATATGCCTGTAAATAAATAAATAGAAGACTAGGCCAGAAGTCAGTGTTTCTCCTCAAGAAAGAGGTCTCCACCTGGCGCCCTATGCCTTTTTGGTGTGTAAATTTTACTTTTTATTATTATTTAAAGTTTTACATACATCTTTTTTCCAAACTGACCAACCCCCTAGCCATTCTCATCCTGGGCAAGCCCCCATCACCCCAGTGTCCAATGCCTTCTAAATATATTTCTTGTATAGTATTTTCATTTGTGTGTTGGCCCCTCCTTCAGATCCTGAACTCTGCCACACAGGTTGCGGCAGGCTTTTATATATATATATATATATATATATATATATATATATATATATATATATATATATATATATAAATTTCAGGGTTATATATTTTGATGTAAATAAAATACTGACACATTTGTACATACAGAGAATTTTTATTAAATATATTTTATGAGAAAAAGAACACCCTGAAGTGCTAAATTTCATGTAAATCAGATAACTTAGTAAATATATGGTGAAAAAAATCAAAAGGGGAAATATGATTTAAATAATCTCACAAAAGAGTAAGAACATATCTTAATTATCATATAGGAGAAAATCATCAAAATATTAAAGGAAAGGAAATCTCTGTTATACAAGAATATACTTCATAGTTCCACCTGTTCATAATGCCAGTGAAAATCTTACCAATATGTATATTTTAATCAATGATAAAAGGGAAGTAAGACTTCTCATTCATAAAGTGACAGTATTTTTGTTGCACAGCAATTTACTGGTACTGACAGCGGAGGATGAATAAAGCTAATTTCTGAATTCAACTGTTAGTAAAGAATCTTTCCACTCCTAAAAATTTAGACAAAAATAGGTCTCAGACTTAGTTGTTCCTAAGCAACACAAGCATTGCAAACTTGTAGGAAGCTGCAGGAAAAAAAACATGTGAAAATGCTCTATGTTAAAAAAACACTTTGTGTTACTTTCTGCTAAAGAGATTCAGTTGGCATTTTCTAAATTATTTAGGGCTTCAGTAGAGATCAAAATTAGCATCTGTAACATGAAGCTAACATGATAGCATCAAAATATTTTGAAATCCTCTAGCCAAAGTTTGGCTCAATATCTGGAAGAAGTCAGTCACATCAAAAATGAATATTTCTAAAAGAAATTTTCATGTACCAAATAGCTACAAACTGAAAAGTACACACAGTGGGGGCACAATAAATACTTATTGGTTGGCTGATTCACAAATTTATATATACCATTTAAGAAAACCCAGATAATTCGGTGCAAAATATATGCATACACAAACATATTTCCCTAATAACATCTTGCCAACATATATATGTTGCCTGTCATTACCTAACAAGCATATATAAAGTATCAATGGAATTAAAATTAAGTTTTAAGTAAAAAGCTCTGGTTTCTTACATATGAGAATGAACTCTGGGATTTCTTTAGGAGTTCTCATATAAAAAAAATTTAATGTGCTAGAACAATACTTGTTATTTAAAAGTTTTAGACAATATAGAAATTTACAGAAAAGATAGTTTAGACCACTGCACATAGAGGGGAAAAACAAAGTGATGAAACTGAATTATGACTTTTAATGCAGTTATAATCAAATTTAACACAAATCAAAACACATTTCACAGGACTTGCAAAAAAAAATTGTATTGATCTTTTAGAACCATGAAAAAGATTAAATTAGTCTTGTTTTAATGAGACTTTCCAGAAATGAAAATAATTTAATTGCAAAATATCGGCTTGATTATGAACATATTCTAAGTATCTACTAGTAAATTAATTGTGTTATCCAAAAAGATCGACAAACTCTAGTATGAACAGGATACTGAATTCATTAATGAATTTTACAATTGTTTTGAGCATACAAGTAATCTCTGCTTTTATACCTACTACATTTCAGAATTCTGTAAACTGTGAGGCATTCCATGTGTTAATGTGGCAGAAAATAATATTAAATGTTTATTTTATTCTGTTTAGTCCTTTTCCCATTAAGCATGCAAACACTGTCATGACCATCTTTGGTTTCACTTCTACAAGGTCGTCAGGTAAGGCATATATTCTGGCACCAATCTTTCGAGCAACTGAAATGGCATATCTTGGGGGGGGGGGGGAAACAAGAAAAATATATTGGTATTTGATATCTACTGTGTTTTCATTTAATATCTATATACATATATAAGCATGATTGGCTGGTAGCTATGACACACAATGACCACCAGGGGGCAAATGCTCAATGCATGAGCTGCCCAGCAACAACAACTTTGCAGAGTCCCCTCTCTCACTCCTGGACCCTTTGGGGGATGTTGGACTGCCAGTTTTGCCCCCATACCTACAAACCAGGCCAAGGGACCCCACCTGTCTGAGGGACCCTGCTCACTCCACAGACACCCTTCAAGCTCCAGTGTGACTGGCCAGAGTGGGACCATGGGAGGTTGGCTCCAGGGTGTGTCAGCCCAGTCTTACCACCGGCCACCACTTCTAATTAACTTTTTTTCAATGTGCACAAATCTATGCATGTTAATAAAAGCACGAAATATTTTATGATTTAACTTTACAAAAAAGTTAAGTTTATGAGTAGTTAAATCATATTTCCTATACAAGTTGTATTTAAAAATGTGAGTCTTAAAGATATATTAACCTTACCTATGTGGATTTAAGAATTTAAAGAGCCACTATGTTGTAATACAAACAATAAAAGCTTACTTAGCATTGTTCAGCTTGTCCTCATCAGAGAAGTCTTCTCTCTTTATCATTTCTTGACGAACTGCATTTGGTGCAATGGCATCTATTAAATCTAGAACAGGTAAACTAGTGCTAATAGATTTGTCCTAGAAAATAAAGAATAGATGAAAATTCGTATCAGACCAGAAGATCATGACCATAAAACTGAAAGCAATTTATAAACTTTCTTTACACTCAACATTCAGCTTCTCTGCAACCAGCACACATCACAAATCACTGAAAATACACTTTCCCTCCCATCTTTACAGAGCTTACATTGTAGAGAGCTATCATCTTCCTGAAGTCATGGGTGTGACAATTACAAAAGTATACTAACTATAGTATTCATTCTGTATAAAATAAACATTTGAAAGGAAGTAGGAGATGAATTTTAAATAAATCGTTTTGCAAGTTCTAATAGTCCTATAAAATAAAGAGGTGATATGCAAATTAACCTGCACACCATCACAAGATGGCTGCACCCACAGCGGAGGCAGGGTTCCCATACTAGCAATCAGCAGGGACCTGAGGCTGCATGGTGCTGGGCCAGGGGACCTGAGCCTGTGCCCCCACGCCCAATGGGGCATGACTGGGGATCTCAGTTTATACTCCCCACCTAGCAGGGCTTGACGAGGGGATCTCAGGCAATGGTCACTGCCCGGCAGGGCTTGATGGGTGCCAGGTGGGGACTGAAGTTGTAATCCCTGCCTGGCAGGGCTTGACAAGGTTGGGGCCAGCCGGGTATGGATATCACCCAATGTAGGGGGATAGGAGGAAAGATGGCTGGGTCTGGGTCTCATGCAATTTCAAGGCAAGCACAGGTGGGTGGGAACTTGACTCTGGGTCCCACACACACCCCAGACTTTGACAGGAGGAAGATTTTCATATACATTTTACTAATGTTCTTTCATCTCTGACACTTCTATTATAGAGAAAGGGCAAATAATAATATTAAAATATTTCTCTAATTCCCCTTTAATGTGCACAAATTTTGTGCAATGGGCCATTAGTAATATATATTTTTAGACTGTGAATTCCTAAGCCTTCACTTAATTTTTTCAAAAGGAAAAATTATAATGGAAAGGAACTAACATTTACAAAAGCATTTTTCTTGTTGTTTTACATGTTTGGCTTATTTAATCCTTTTAACAAACTGGTGTTCAATAAATTATAATCTCTCTTTTAAAGATAAAGAATATAAAATTCACAGAGCTCCAGTGACTTTTCCACATAACCAGTAAGTACAGAATCACTATTTGAATCCATAACTGTCCCTCCCAATATTCTCTTCATTGTTGACATTACCTCCAAGACAAATTAAAAAGGGATAACTAGTTTTAGTGACTAGAGCATTGCAAATGAAGTTAGAAATCCTGGTCTGAATTTATTTTACCACTTACCAATACAAATTCTCTGTTCTTTCAGCTTGAATGGTAGCCACTGTGTTTTGTCTACCCAAAATCCATTTCTACTACTTTCTTCTTCCTAACAAAACTCACATTTTTGCTGTTACCTCCCACACATGGACATATACTCCAAGGAAGGCTGATCCCATCCACAGTTCTAGAGGTGTCCTGAATTAGTCTAGGCCATGCATTCTGAGGTTGTGGTGATCAAGTTACTCTTTTATGTATAAATCAGACATACAGTACTATCTATGTTCTTAAAATGACATGGGGAAGGGGTGTTTAGGAAGAAAATGTCTAAGAAGACTCCTTGAGTGAATAATAAAAACACATTGAAAAATACTAGTCTTAGGGATGCCCATTCTCACTATTCCTGTTAAACATAGTGCTGGAAGTACTAGCCATAGAGATCAGACAAGAAGAAGAAATAAAAGGCTTCCAAATTGAAAAAAAAGAAGTAAAACTTTCTTTATTCACAGATGACATGATACTATACATAGAAAACCCTAAAGAGTCCATCAAAAATTATTAGTCTTAATAAATGAATTCTGCAAGGTAGTAGGATACAAAATCAATGCCAAGAAATCTATGGCATTTCTATACGCCAACAATGAACTTACAGAAAGAGAGACAAAGAAAGCAATCCCATTTACCATCATACCAAAAAAATTTAGATAACGAGGAATAAACTTAACTAAGGAGGTAAAAGATCTATATGTGGAAAACTACATTACACTGAAAAAAGAGATAACGGAAGATGTAAACAGATGGGAAAACATACCATGTTCATGGATTGGTAGAATCAAAATCATTAAAATATCCATACTACCCAAAGCAATCTATAGATTCAGTGCACTTCCCATTAAAATATCAATAGCATATTTCACAGACCTAGAAAGAACACTACAAAAATTCATCTGGAATAAAAAAAAAAGACTCCAAAAAGCCACGGCAATCCTGAGGAAGAAGAATAAAGTAGGAGGGATCTCAATACCAGATTTCAAGCTGTATTACAAAGCCACTGTTCTCAAAACAGCCTGGTACTGGCACAGGAATAGACAAACAGACCAAAGGAATAGAATAGAGAATCCAGATATCGACCCAGAACACTATGCTCAATTAATATTTTACAAAGGAGGTATGAACATATAATGGAGTCAAGACAGTCTCTTCAACAAATGGTGCTGGGAAATTTGGACAGATACATGCAAAAAAAATGAAACTAGACCTCCAACATACACCATACACAAAAATAAACTCAAAGTGGATATAGGACCTAAACATAAGACAGGAAACCATAAAAATACTAGAGGAATCCACAGGCAGGAAAATCTCAGACATATGTCAAAAGAACTTCTTCACTGATACTGCTCCTAGGGCAATGGAAGCTAAAGAGAAAATAAACAAATGGGACTACATCAAAATAAAAAGCTTTTTCTCAGCAAAGGAAACTATCAATAAAACCACAAGAAACCCCACTGCATGGGAGAACATATTTGCCAACGGTATCAATGATAAGGGTTTAATCTCCAAAATTTACAGAGAACTCATATAACTTAACAAAAAGAAGATAACCCAATCAAAAAATGGGCAACTGAACTAAATAGACAGTTTTTGAAAGAAGACAGAAGGAAGGCCAAGAGACATATGAAAACATGCTCAAAGTCATTAATAATCAGAGAGATGCAAATCAAAACAACAATGCAGTACCATCTTACACCTGTCAGAATGGCTATCATCAACAAATCAGCAAATGACAAGTATTGGCGAGGATGTGGAGAAAAAGGAACTCTTTTACACTGCTGGTAGGAATGCAGACTGGTGCAGCCATTGTGGAGAACAGTATGGAGTTTCCTCAAAAAACTAAAAATGGAACTCCCATTTGACCCAATGATCCCACTTCTAGGAATATATCCCAAGAAACTAGAAACACAAATCAGAAAGGATATATGCACCCCTATTTTCATAGCAGCTCAATTCACCATAGCTAAGATTTGGAAACAGCCTAAATGCCTATCAGCAGATGAATGGATTAAAAAAACTGTGGTACATCTACTCAATTAATTACTATGCTGCGGTAAAAAAGAAAGAGTTCCTACCATTTGCAGCAACATGGATGGAGATGGAGACCATTTTGCTAAGTGAAATAAGTTAGGCAGAGAAAGATAAACATCACATGATCTCACGCATTTATGGAATATAGTGAACGGCATAGACTGATGAACAAGAACAGACCCAGAGACTGAGTAACATTGATCAGAATCTCAAACCCCAGGAAAGGAGGGGATTGCTGGTAGTAAGGGGGAGAAATCAACCAAGAGACTTGTGGGTATACATATGAGCCTCATCAATGGCCACAGATAACATGGGGGTGGAGTATGAGTGGAGGGTATGGGATAAGGGAACACATATGTAAAATAATAATAATAATAATAATAATAATAATAATATTTAAAAATTGAGAGAGAGAGGGAGAGAGAGAGGGAAAGAGAGAGAGAGAAAAGTGTGAGGTAACCATAACCCAAGAACACCTGAGAATGCCTTTACTGCCATGCTAGCAGACATCAGCTGTACAGTAATATAATCTGGGGCTATTGGGTAAATATTTCTGGACTTAAGTTCCTGATCCTTCACAGGTGGGAGCCCTTACCTGGGTTGATCCTCCTGCCCAAAGTAGTCACTGATGATCCTCCTGCCCAAAGTATCGATAGTCACTGATGATCCTCCTGCCCAAAGTAGTCCAGGAGGACCACAGGTGGGACAAGGAAGTATAATTACATAGGGGTCACCACCCAGCTGCCCTTCTGTACGACACAAAATTAAACCACTGTTCCTTTGTGTGTAAAATTAAAGAGAAGTTTCTGGCTTGTGAGGACACCATAGGAAGGGACCATCACTACTTCCTCCTGGGAGAGGTGTAGAAAATGAAACAAAGACCTTGTCTATACAAAAAGAAATTGACAGCCAGTTTAAAATGGAATTTCCATGGCCTAGAGCAGTGTTTCCAAAACTTCTCTCATGATGAGAATCACCTAGTGGAGTTGTTAAAATACAGATTTCTGAATCCCAACTAAGAAGTGCTAAACTAGAACTTTGGGGAACATATATGTAAAATCATATACTTAAGTAGTGCTCATCATGAGAGAAGTTTGGGAAACACTAGCCTAGAGCAAAGAATATCCTTACATGATATTATTCTACAAGGTCATTATAATTTTTCCCAGATTTGGGTTATCCCATCACCTATAATAGTACCTTGCACCATGGGGTATCAATAAAAAATCATTTATTTTATTATATATATTTTATGTTGGTGCTTGGAGACAAAGGTAACACAGCTCTAGATATTTTATCTTTTTAAAAAATATATTTTATTGATTTTTACAGAGAGGAAGTGAGAGGGATAGAGAGCTAGAAACGTCGATGAGAGAGAAACATCAACCAGCTGCCTCCTGCACCCTACCAGGGATGTGCCCGCAACCAATGTACATGCCCTTGACTGGAATCGAACCCGGGACCTTTCAGTCCACAGACCGACGCTCTACCACTGAGCCAAACCGGTTTTGGCACAGCTCTAGATATTTTAGAATTACAACAGCATATTGTACAATTATCCCAAACAAACATACAAACCAATCCTTTGAATGTCTGGCAGCAATTTAAAAACAACATGAAAGGACTTCATCCCTTCCACTGTGCAG